TATAATTAAAAAATGTATTACAGTAATTGTCCAATATTTCAATACAGCTCTTAATTTTTTTCATTTGGAAGCAGTAAGAACAATCATCATCACCAGCTCTTTTACGTCCCCACTGCAGGGACTCAGGCCTTCCTTATGGACGGTTAAGGAGGATGGGCCATGACCCTCCACACTAGCCAAATCCGGATTGGAGGGTATTAACGACTGCAAATGCAGCCGGGACCAACGGGTTTACGTGCCTTCCGAAGCACGGAGTAGCTCGAGATAATAATTATTTAGTCACCCATCCCATGACCGACCCTAGCAAAGTTACTTAACTACTAAGATTGCGGGCTGCGGCGCTTATCCACTACGCCACCGAGCTACCGAGTAAGAACAATAAATTATATAAAATAAAATACTGTATAATAAATCTGGAATATAAGCACAGTATCCATGATTTGCGAAATCTGTGCCTAATCTATCAATTTTATCACGGTTTGTTAGGTACGTCTGCGTCGCTGCTTGCTGGGGTGCTGGTGCTACTATGAAACTGCGAAAATTTTCGCTTGTCATTTTGTTGGGATTCGATTCTGGCCGTGCAAAATCAGAATTGGAGCTTCAATTCGTTACGGGGCACTGATTTTTGGTATCATTAATTCTACTAGAGTTATTTAACATAATTACTTTTTGAATTTGACTAAATATCGACTATACTTATTGGTATTTTTATGGAAAGCTTTTACAGTTTGCCGCTAAAATTCTAAATTTCTTCAATTCATTATGAACTTAATGTAAAATACAGTAAAGTTTTAAAAATATATAATTGATTTTATTATGTAAATGAGAATCAATGTAATATTTCTTAGAAGTTATAACTTAAATCGGCCTTACCTTAAAATTTAACCTCTTCAGACAAATTGCAACTTGTAAAGCTCCTATCAGCTACCAAATTAACCGAAAGTCGTTTCGTCCCCCATTGGTCAGAAGCCAGACTAATCAAAGGGGGATTGCATTACAGAATCCAGAAACTAGTTACAAAACCCGTCTCAACAAAAACCCAATTAGTCAATGAAAGGGTTTAATTTGTCGCTAGGAAGCTTGCTAACATCAGAGAAATATTTTTAACTGAACCTTTTTGTTGATTCAGTATTCATTTGTAAATAAAGGTGTATTTTTTTGTTCGTTTTCATTAGAACAATATTTTATTCGGGTCAACACTAGTACTTGTAGCGTTGCACCACCTTCCTGATATTATTATTATTTTATTGTTATTGTTATAATGTGAGTGTAACGGAAGATCGCTGCTACTGTGCAGTAGAGTGATTTGTACATTGTATGTACATAATACAATGATTATTTTAAAACAGGAGTAAGTAAGTTAAGTAAGTAAGTTTCATCATTTTATTACTCAGTGACAGAGATTTTTTGGGGTTGAGAGTGTGACGTCTTTTCTGTTTAGCGACAAACAAAATATTATTATGTTGAATTGACCGAATAACTTCATAAATTAAACTTCATACAACTGTTATATACATATATGTGAGGATGCCATTACAATTTAAAATTCAGCGTTACACTCAAAAATATTGTTGAATCAACCAACTCGTTACTCATCAACAAAGTTACTCAGTTACTCCTTAGGTTAAAAGTAAAGATAGTGCAGATGTTGATTCCAAATTTTGCGACACGATATCTTCATCCATCCCTCCAAAGACTACAGAAATTACTCTTGTACTGCCAAAGTGATAATTTTGTCCGTTGCTCTTCATTACGATTTATTGAATGCTTCATACTCTTATACTGGAGATTGTCAAATTGAGGAATTTTTTTTTTTTGTTCTAATTAAAATGAAAGAATAAGCATAATCCAAAAATACTGTCAAAACATTTCTTAAATATTTACATAAATAAATAGTTATGGGACTTTAAAGTTGCGCTCTCTAGAATAATTTCCCTTTCCGTGGTATCTCAGTGTGTGACGTCACGCTACCATGACCGCGAGGCTCAGTAGTACGAGTATTACAAGTTCGTTTTTGAGATTTTGTTTGTTTGACATTTACAAAAATAACAAAAGCAAAATATTATAATTAAGTAAGTAAGGAGTGTTATATTTCTATGGAACCCTCGGTACGAGTCGTACTCGTGTACCAAGTTTGATACACATTAAAAATGATATCTTTAGTCTTTGTTGGCAAGAAAATATATACATTTTGTCTTTTTCTTCTTATTATTATAGAAATATAAAAATAAATTACATACAAATAGAAAAATAAAACTGATCAAACATCTAAATATATATAACTCAAAGGTGACTGACATAGTGATCTATCAACGCACAGCCCAAACCACTGGACGGATCGGGCTGAAATTTGGCATACAGATAGATATTATGACGTAGGTATCCGCTAAGAAAGGATTTTGATCAATTCTATCCCCAAGGGGATAAAATAGAGTACGGAAAACTTTGTCAATTTTAAACCGATCGGGCTGTGACCAATAATAGCTAAAAACAACGCCAGACTACCCAATTAGAAGAAAATTTTTGCAGACTTCTATTTAATTTGTATCTGGGTATCAGTATCTGGGTTCCGTAATCACAAAAAAGGGCAACTGTGAGCCGGAGGTGCGAAGACGAATCGGCATGGGAAAGACAGCAATGACACAATTGGACAAAGTGTGGAGAGATAGGAACATCAGCAATAAAACAAAAATACACCTAGTTCGCACACTCGTCTTCTCCATATTTCTGTATGGTGCCGAGACCTGGACTATTAAGGCGGCTGATAGACGGGGAATCGACGCGTTGAGATGTGGTGTTGGCGTCATATGCTGAGAATACCATGGACAGCTCACCGCACAAATGTCTCTGTCTTACATCAGCTTAAACTAGAGGAAGCACAGCGCCTGTCTTCAACCTGCCTGAGACGCATAATACAATACTTCGGCCACGTTGCTCGACGAGATACCGATAACCTGGAACGCTTGATGGTTATGGGGAAAATAGAGGGGAAAAGACCCAGGGGCCGGAGTCCTAAACGTTGATCGGACCAGGTCTCGGAGGTACTTGAGTGCTGCACTCCACCAAGCAGCTGAGCGAAACCGATGGAGACGGATGGTTGGCGAGATGATACGGAGTCACGATCCTCAGCAGTGAGGAAACGATAGAGAAGAAGATTTAATTTGTAGATTAAGTCATCATATTAAATGAATTATTAAATTTAAAAAAAAAAATAGACTTCTATTTAATTTATAGTACGACTACCCAAGTTCCGTGCTGTGACGTCACAGGCGAGTCGGAGGCCAAAGACATTACGTGGGTTATTTCGCATTAAACTTAACATTTTGAAACTTCTCAGTGAAAGAGATAGAAACAAATATAAACTGTGATTAAAAAGAAGAAAAATATCTGATCAACCATAAATCACCAAAGACCCACGAAACACCTGACGGGACGGAAAATAGCCATTTTCCGTGAAATTTAACGCATTCAAATGTTCCCAATAAGACGGATTGTAAAGGAAACCCGAATTTTCCATTTTCACCCTATGTCCGACCTTTTTTGAACGCACACAATACTCGGGGGCTATATGGAGGCGTTATTATGTCCGAAAGGCGGTCATTATAAATGGACAGTGAAGGAAATGCAATGGAAAGCTTAGGGCTAAAGCTATTGTCGATATAGATTAGAAATGATGAGTTTTCTTGGCGGTTTTAGGGCGTATTCCTAACACGAATATTTCTATTTTCATATTTATCTGTCTCTGATTGAATATTATTATTAAAATCTTAGATTCTTTAAAACCGAGACGATCTATTAAACCCTTCAGAAACTGAAGTCCAATTTTAATTTGTTAAATGAAAAAGTACTGCGATAACTTCGAAGAGAATTTCCATCGTTTTCACGCCAATACCAGACAGAGACATCGGAAAATACCCACAAGAGATGACAGCGAATTTAATTATAAACATAATAAAAAAAAACTCAAACGTCCCTTTTAATAATCGAGCTACTTGGCACTGGCGAAAAATAATTTATCACGCCATAACAAACCTTATTATGTTCTAAATACGGAGAAATCGCGCAAAAAAGTCGATGTCCAAGAGAAAATAAAACATTGACGCTCTACAATATATCGTAGATTCGATCAACGCCACTAGAATGAGGGTGTCTTTATTTATTTATTTTTATTTAAATTCAAATTTCGGGTATTTCACGCGGCAAGACATCAAGTGTTCGATTTCAATTTGCGAATAATGGTATCTCGAGTGTTTAGATTATATGATGACATTTTAAATTAATCATTTCCCATATTTCGCTTAATATCATTATGAAGACTTTTAATATCATCTACTTCAACTCGCAGGATTTTTCTGATTGACAGATCGATTCAACCGCCTTATGATATGATCGCCTATTGAACATCCAAACATCTCCTTACAAACCTCAAAGTGAATGCAAACAATATAACCCCAAACTAAGGTCTATTTAATAAACACCTCTAAGGAACTGACCGTTGGTTAATAGCACTCGAGGGCCGGCAGATTATTCATAGCACAATGAAATAATTAATTGGTGCTCAAATCCGAGTTCCCGACGCGCCATTATGGGAGTTGTTATGTTGGACCGGGTTCAATAGAGTTCTGTCCATTACGGAGGCCACTTGCCGTCTGACTGAGGTGTGAATTAGACACTTCGAATTTCTAACTCCGGAACTATTTCAAATTTGGAATGCTTTTGACCTTTCAAATATTACACCGAATTACGGTTAATAGTCAATTACGTATCTTTTATGTAATTTACCCTGGCATGTTTTATTGTTCATTTATGACGTTAGGTTTTTGTTTTTTTATTTAATTAAAACGTATTATAATTACACTTGATGAGTATAACCAACTTTCTTTGTACCTACATAACAGAAAAGTTCCATAGTTTTGTTGTGATTATCCATGCATTGCTTTTAGTATAGTGACGATTTTATTAACTATACAAATTATTATTAAGTTTATCTGTGTACACAGGTATGGCGGGTGGGGGCATGGGTCAAGCGATGGGCGGTTATTACGGAGCTGCTTACGGGCCGCTCGGAGCCAGCATGGCTGCCGCTGCGGCTGCGGCTGCGCAACAGAACGCAATATCTGCAGCATTGACGCCTAGCGGCCAGGTAATTTTAAAAATAACATCGTTTGCTTGAATTATTTTTTAACGCTCTAATTCTTTGTCGGCCAAAACTAAACAGTAATTTTTATTTCGTAACAAACAAACATTCATTCTAGTCTCGTTGATCAAAAACCGTTCAATTCTATCAGAGTTTTATGAGTAAAAGAAACTAAGTGAAAAATCTATCGTAACATTTAATTAAAAAATAAAACTGTTTACGAAGTTTAACATTTTTTTAGGACTAGTCCAAAATGAATCTATCAAGTCGTCATATCACGGAGGCGGCGTAAAATCTCTCCACGCCGTTTAGGATAAACTAGTTTTCGGCGTGAAATCGTCTACTTCGTGCGAGAAAATTCACGCCCGGTCCTCAGCGAGGTGATAACTGCTGATGCATCCTTGTCTAATGTGATTTCATACATTTTGGCATATGTTCCGGCACTTAACGCGAGTGCCGATGGGCCGTGTAATTAGTTGCTAAATTGGCCCGGCGGATGTGTTAGATTTGTGTAACTTTTTTGTTAAGCATCGATGATTTTTTTTATCAGGATAGGTCGATTTTTCTAATATTTTTGATACAAAAAAGTGCCTGATTACAATATTAGAGACAAATTAAAATTAATTATTAAAATCCCACTTTTCCCGGCCAACGCTCCCCTGCGTTCTCACCTTCCGCGGCCCAATAAAGATAATGCACTATTTCCCGATTCTCCACGGCGACAGATGGCGCTATAATCAGTATAAACAAGGGGCTGGTAATACTCGAATACGAGTTGCCCTTCGCTAATTATTTTGTGACGACTCACCGGGCCCGCGGGTAAACAATGGTCGAGGGGGTGGTAGGGTGGCCAGGAAGTTGACGCGACAAAACCTTTTTTTTAATTTTTCAATAAATAAAAGTATGTTTAAAATTTTTTAAATTAAAAAGTCATTAATTGGACTGGATATGTCAAAGTTAAAAATAGTCTTTGACTTTTGGTGTTGAAATAATTTCATTTTCAAGAATTACTTACGATTATCAAGAATTATAGTGCATGTGTTCCTTTTGTTAGATTTGGTTTGCTAAAGAAAAACCAATAGATGCTTTTGTTCGAATCAATGCACCTATTTGAGACAATATTCTCATTATCTATATTTATCTATTCCCATATAATTTTCAATAAATTATAGCTGCTTCTAAGCATTGTTGGACTACTTAAAAGGTTTTCCGTCTATGTAATCGTGAATTTTAAAATTAAAGTAACATAAAAAATATTTAATCAATTTATTCACGTACTCCAGAGTTGTGACAAAACGTTATTTATTCCACATTTTTCTCAGTAATCATGGCTACCCCATGTATATTACAAATCGGAACTACAATCTGGAAATCCCTTTCCCTCTTAATGCATGGGGTAAGAAGTGGATCGTAACTACAACGCTAATACCATGTGTAATTTACGACTTTTAAAATTGAATTCTATAGACACATCGGATAAAGAGAGATCATAAACAATTAGAGTTACGCTCGTTTTTGTCTAAGATATTCAATATGAGAATTATAGTAACAGTGGTTGAATTTTGATAACGGAACGAGTTGCAGGTAGGAGCAAAACGGATTATAATATTCCTCTTGTCGAAGAGAAATTGCCTCGATCTATACTTTGTGGTAAAGTGATAGGCCAATAATCTCTCAAAGTTTCATTTCAGATAACGGAAAAGTCTGAAATGAAACCGAGAAACATTCACGCTCAAATAAAAAAAAGCTCAATAATCACTTGGCGAAAAGATTTAAGACACCCGTCAAGGAGCATAATCAGCTTATTAACAACCGCTAAGAACTTTAAGAGTCCTCATCGGCGAGCCGTGAAATCCCCCAATTTACTCCTGACATGCAAAACATCTTGTCGCGGCGCGTTTATTGAATAATTTGATTTATAATCGCAAGTCTAATCCAATAAACCATAAACAGGATCGTGGGCGCACCCTTGAAAACGCCCTCGCAGTTAAACACATCTACGTCACATCCAGGAGATTAAACGTCGAGGGAAGATGGCGTTTTTAAATCGAAGGAGGGTTCGCCAAGTTCAATTGTCCAAGTTTGTGTGTCAAGTAGTGTTTTAATTTGGTTGTTATTTGAGGGGACTACGTGTTGGTTCATGATAATGTCAATAGTTTCATTAGTAAATGTGATTTACAGATGGTCTGTTATAATGACTGACATACACCGCTAAATATAAATATAATATCTTTGATGGATTACCAAACGTTTTCAATGATTTAAGTTTTCAAAGATTACCCCTCTATTGAAATGCCATTATGAATGCAATTGTACGTCTGTCTCTATATTTTAATAACAAGATTCCATCACTGAAATCTATTAGATATTTAGAAATACTTGTCATTGAGCGTTCTTTTTTTTTTTATTAATGATGAGACTTCTTTATTCTTTACATTAACAAGTTTCTCTTATACTTTTGTATACATATACAGGGTCACTGATGGCAATTATTAATCTAAAGTTATCATAATAGACTTAAAAAAAAATTTACAATGTCCAATCTATAAGCGATTGTACACACCCAAACATGATTATCTAAACAGAATCAACTAATTGAATGCACGCCGCAAACAATACTATAGGCTATCGGTATTCGCTTTCGAAAATTCTATTTAATTAGTCCAAGCGAAAGTTTCGGTTTCAGTAGCTGTGCCGGACCCCTCGGAGCCGATCCATCAGCTATTGTACCACTTTAATAGAACTCCGAACTATCGGATGAAAACGCATTTTTTTCGATTAACGCATCGAATCGGTCCCTTAACGTAGGAAACAATATAATCAGCTACCATTCAGGCCGGAGTATTAACACGTAAATAATATCTGGAACGTTTTGGCTGGTATTAAAAATAGTGATTAGGCATATTCGCGCGGACAGGTAAAGAAATAAACTGCTTTAACGAACCATTGTGGTTTTAGTATTCGATTATGGCGATAGGTGATTTATCGTCGGTTAGAGATGGTGGGTTGTGCTTATACGTAATAGCCGTGAAATCAGGTGCATGCGTTGCAAGTTTTGTTAGAGCTTATTATATGGTAGCGTTTCCTATTTTTTTTTTCAGAAGATGTGTATCGTTTTCCTCGGTTGATAAGGAAAATTATGTTTTCGCCAATCAGACAAAATTTATAGGCTATAAAAACTTAATTTACAAGTTGTTGTGTCCCAACCTACCGATAAAGGTATAATCTAAAAGAGGTTATAACGCCGTCCTCCGAAGACAACAAATATTCAATATGACTTACGTTAAAGATAGACGCAATAAAATACGGTCCTTTGGCTGCAGTAAACCGTGTAGTTGATGTCACCTTGTCCGACTAATCCTGATTTAGCGTGCTAGCTGTGACCGCGGCTGTATGTTATGCGGGAACAGACGCGGGCGGGCGGCGAACGTACGACAATTCCAGAGGTTTACGAGCGATAGGCGTTTGGTGATATTTATAGTTTGCACAACAAAGCTCTGACGCTTTTTGTGTTGTCCCATCCGAGAAGTGTTAGGGTTTTTGTGCATGCTCGAGACATTAACCTGCAGTACCAGATACAACAATAACCTGTATCTAGATACAACAATAATCTTATCTTTATCAATAGCTTATTGATCACTGATAAATTATTTGCTAGTGTAGCTATTAGAATTATAACTATTAGTGGAAAACTGTTTGTTTTTGTAAATGTAAAATTTTGATATCATATTAAGTACTCTTTTAAAGGAATATCTTCAAAGTTTAATATTATTCGATTCACAAAAGGTGTGTATCGTTCAAAAGTAATATTTTTTTTGCAATCATTGGCTTCATTGAAAATATAAAATTCGAGCCATTATTCGTGCGTTTTGTTAAGATTGATTTGTGTATCTGACCGTACAAAATGCAGCTTTAACTCGATCGTACCGTTCTTAAATCGTTTTATGCCTTATCACCGAGCGCGAGATTCATTATTCGCTCGACTGTTGCGCAGACGTTGATCCTATTCATGTGGAAATGTTAATAAATTTTCAGTGAATTATTTCTCTTGTAAATTATTTGTGGAATATTTACATGTTGTTGCGTCATTGTAGGTTTAACCTTCTTCACTATTAAGTGGATAATGATTGTTAGTATTTAGTCGTAACTGTTACAGAAGATTGATGATTAGAGCCTTTTTGCTGCTCATTAGGCACTAGTCCTTCAACTTCTTATTTGATTGATAAAATTATCTAAAAAATTTACTAATGACATTCAGTCACGAAGATTTTACTAATTCTAAGAACTGTAGCGTTTCGCGCTGTACTTACCTGATCATATTTTAATAACAAACCCTCGTTACAGGTCGGATCAACCATGGATATGTCAAAATACTCCATAGAAGCGGAGAAATACAGGAGTTACGGAATGTACCCCGACCCGTCTCGAGGGTACCTCGACTCGGCAGCTCTGTCTAAGGCCTACATGTACATGGATCAGCAACAACATCAACGCCCCTATCCTATGGATATAGGGAAAATGTATTCGGAAGCATCCGCAGCGGCTATGGCCGGCCTCACCTCCGCCGTTAACTCGGCCCCATCGAGCCTCTCGCCCAGATCACCAGCGGATTCCCCTGATATCACACCGAAAAATCAAGACAGGGCCGAAGGCAGCTCTTCCTCAGGTTCCAACCCTTCTCCATCCCTTCCATACTATCAGACCTCATCGAGTCTTCTGATGCCTCAGTATCCTGGTCAGTACGCTCAGACCGCACAACCTGGCTCAGAATTTCGGAGGCCGCTCACCGTCATATTCTGACCTGATACGTAAGCGTGTTTTGTTTTTGTTTTTGACTCGGTTGTTTGTTGTTTTTACTGCGTCTTCGTTGAGAATTGTGAATGTATACGTGTGGATCGCATATCGGCCGCTTATATAGGCCGTAGTTTTTGTTGTTATATTATTTGGAGCTGATTCTGGAATATGGGATGTGACCACAGTTTGCGGTAAAACGGTAGAAAAATATAACCGATAGCAATTTGACTCACCGCTTAGTTCAATGAACAGTTTGCGCTTAATTTCTTGTATAGGTAATCTTTAAGAGTCTTTTGTTCGTTGATGTGTAGTAAATCTACTGCTTTGTATACCGACAGCGGTGTAACTCTTGTTACTTAATACCTCTCACAGAAATTGTATAATGTGTAAGTACAACTATTTAAGTTCGATTAGGTTTTTTTGGACTGTTAATTGTATTATTATTTTGACACATATCTAAGTTCTGGTTCTCGCCAGCGTTTGTAATTTATTTACTTTTCACGTTTATCGTGAATTTTCCAAAGTTCCTCTTTGATTTCTTTTTTTTTAGATTTAGAATTTATAAATATATTATAAATTAATATTGTAGCAAATAATTGAATTTCCAGTGATTGTAAATTGTAAATAGAGACATAGTTTATCTACTATTATATTTTAAGATATAAATATGATTAAAACTTACTGTGACCATTCTTCTAATAATAAACGGCTTGTATAAAACATTTCTAGATTAAAGTTGACACTATATTTTTATTACGTGTTTTATGTCTATATATTTTCAACACAATTAGAATTATATCTGTTGTATAGTACATTTCATTTATTAGGAGTATTGCCTCGCTTTTGAAATTATCCACAATAGATTTTGATATCTAGTTTCAACCCGTTAATGTTTAAAATCATTTTGAGATGTTGAATGTTCCTAAATCTTTTGATTGCTGAGATTTAGTCTAGGTTTGTTTTAAATAAGCCCTCCAGGTTCTGTATGTAGTAGTATGATAGTATTTTTTCACGTCGAATCAGTCATAATTAAATCGTAAATATGGTCACAGTAATGCTTAATTCTCGTATTCAAATCTACTAAAGTCCAAATTATGCTACAACGACTACCTAAACTGTACGTTTTATCTGTAAATATAAAGTGTTATATTAAAAATTAAAATGACTTCTGGAAGCTTTCGCTTTGATACTAGTGGCTCCGTTACTTGTCATTTTTATTTATATTTAACTCATGTTTTTGATCTTTTCCTTACACTATTTTTGTCATTTAATTCCCACAAGACAGGTCAATTGACGCTGATTTTAGGCGCTAGTGTGTAAAAACCCTAACATTGCATTTATTTGTTGCCATATACAAAAAGTTGTTATTTTTTTAGTTAGTCGATTGTAAAACGGTTTTTTGGTTGGTAAAGGTACAGGAAAATTAGAAACTCATAGCTGTAAGTGTATTGTAAATTAAATAAACGAATAATTGAATTTGTAAATTATGAATCTCGAAGGAGTCGTTTGTTATGAGACTCTAATAGTCTCATAACAAACGACTCCTTAAGCCTAATTAAAATATATGCCTCATTAAACTTATTCAAAATCTATTTGGTACTTTTATTTTGTACTCACTTACCTCCCCAGAATTAAATAAAACCGCCCAAGTGCAAGTCGGACTCAAGCACGAAGGGAAGCTTACAAAAACGTATCTAACTAGATACTGCCAGACAGACAGACAGACAGACAGACCGATGAACAGAAGAGTGTTAGTAATAGGGTTCCGTTTTTCAACCGTTGGGAACGGAACCCTAAAAGTTAGTCAGAGACTGAATACTTAAATTGATTAGAATAGGTTCGTCTGTCTTACTCTATTTTATGTATTTTTACGCAATAAGGTGGGACTTGGCATGATAACATTCTTAATGTTAAAAAAAAACATTTTTAAGCAATTCTCTTAAGTTCAAATATGTAATTATAAGCTCATCCTAAAGACACGGTCGTAGGTCTTAGATACGGTCGTGTTAGCAGACGTGAATTTAAATGGAATTGCGCATAAGATTGCATGGAGTAAAAAATATTGTCCAAGTAAATAAATTAAATGTTACTTAACTTAGATAACGACATAGTTTCTATGTCAACAGATATAGTGCTATTCTATAATAAAATCAGCATTGAATTCGACATCGAGCACATTGCTGTCACAGTATAGAAGTTTAATCAAATAAAACCGTCTCCAAAAGGTAATAAAGATTTTATTCAATTGAATATATATGCTGTGAGAGCACTGCTCAACGTCGGGTACGAAACTATTTTATTACAGAATAAATAAAGACTTGGAAAAACTGATTAAATTTAGACTTAGTTTCATAATACTTAGACGAATGATTTTTCTGCCGTAAACTTGAGTCATCATCATCAGCCCTTTTACGTCCCTACTGCAGGAGCTCAGGCCTTCCTTATGGATGGTTAAGGAGGATGGGCCGTGACCTTCCACGCTGTCCCAATGCGGATTGGAGGTAAATTTGAGTATTAGACCATAAATGATTGAACGTACTGAACCGTATCTGATGTAACCAAAAAGTTAGTTAACCGTAATGAATAGTTTAAAAAAGCAAAGAATCGGAGACTAGTTGAGTATGCTGCGCAGGAGTTCGAAGTACCAGATTGCAACTGGAGAGAAGTTGTTATTGATGACAAGCTCCTTGGAATTGAAACCGGGTACTCAAGTACCCGTGAGTAATTTATTGATAGGTGGTCACGGATTATGTTGTTATTAAATTTTTATTTACCTGGCGTTTTCTTTGCACGGGCTTCTCTGTAAATTTATATAGAAGTATTGCCTGTAGAGGTTGTATACCATGCTTCTTCACGTCGATGATGTCCTGCTTGAACACTCCGTTCCACGACTGCAGTGGTGGACTAACCTCATTGAGGCCTGGGGCGACAACAGGCCTGGACCGACAGCTTTTTCCAACCGAGGCAGAATCTTGATATTGCCCCTTCTGCCCTTCCCTTAGTCCGCCCTGCGACTGTATCACCTAGATTGGAATGGTGACTGATGAAATTGCTATGATCAGTTATAAATTATGCATTCTATAAAAAGGTTATTTACCTTCGATGAGGCGAATGTTTACCTTAGAGTAGAAGGACCTAGGAAATGCTAGTACACTGTCAAAGGGCTATGGAAAGAAGTATAATAGGCATCAGGAAACAAGATAAAATAAGAAACTCTGTTATAAGAACGAAGACAGGAGTAATGGAAATTCTGACAAAAATTGACCAATTAAAAATTCATTATTTTTTACTTTATTGTTGCTCTCAACTACAATGTGAAATGTACTTAGCTACTTGTGGTCAACGGTGTTGGTTTCACAATCACAAGATATATGTAATTAATTTGTTGCTGGTTCAAGTAATATCATTGTGAAACTGTTTGTTGATCCAATAATGTAAAAAAAAAAAAAAAAATTATAATCACTTGGAATTTGATATTTGCGAACTTCACGCCGCAACTATTTGACATGTGATAGCAATTGCGATCCCGATTTCATTTTAAGATATTGAATAAACGATAACGTTTATTTGACGTTTACCGGAATTGTCTAAGCAAAGTGATAGATACAAATATCTTTGTCAAAGGAAATGAATTGTCTATCTTTAAAATTTATATCATTCAAATAATTCGTTCCAAAAGCGTTTGTGACTTTAAAAGTAACACAATTCCATAAATCACTGACACAACCGCTAAACGTTTTAAAGGGATGGTGTTAGATTTTAAAATAGACAATTAGGCCACTGATTTGCAAAAAAGATATTGCTAAAATAGACTATATTTATTTATTTTGTCAGCTCCCATCATATTGTAGCTCTCGAAATCGCAATCCTAAAACAACATATCAACAGAAAAGCTATTTAATTTCACTTTTTTAAATACCTTAAAAAAATAATTTCGAAAACCTATCAATTACCGAATTTTACAAAAATAACTGTTGTTTTCTCTTCGGTAACATTTTACTGTCAGCCTTATCGCTCTAGATATAAAGTTGCCGATTGTAAGCAGATTGTTTCGTGGTGGTAAAATGGTTCTGTCAATATTGTGCGCTCCAGTACTCCCCTATGTTTTTTAATAAAATATGCGTACTCGATAGATATCATTGCGCAGTCGGCAGGGGTAGTGATTTGGCGAAAAGTAAACAGCCGAGTTGTCTATTGTAGAGTAAAATGCGCTGGAATAATATAAACAATCGACGTTACCCCCGGTAATAGGTAGGTGGGAACGTACAGCGTGTTCCAAAACGACACTCACTTCTCTAATTAACAGTGCTTAACTCAAATACTATATTCATGTTTAAATTCTAATCATCATCATCAGCCTTTCAAAGTACAGGTCTTACTTACCTACGTAAAGGTACAATACATAGAGCAACAGCACATATTAACCCACCAAGCGAGTCTAATTTGGATTGATGGGTATAAATGATTACAAATGCAGATAGGACTAATTGGTAGAGTTAGAAATAATCGGTCACCCATCCTATGACCCGCCTTTGCGAAAGTTGCTTAACATCCTAATGTAATTAATACGCTATCGAGTTCCTTTGAGTAGCCTACATGGTTTTATTAAACACAACTATTTAGTATTGATTTCTTATATTTTATATAAAACTATCCATAAATGAATTAATCGGCTTCATCGCGTTTGTATTTAGTTTCAGACGTTTAAAAAAACCATGCGAAAGTGAACACGGAACCTGTAAAGGGTCCGAAATTCCACCCTGGACTCGCTGAAATTTCAGCAACAAAATAACAATAAAACGTACAATAAACACACAAAAAAAGTAATTTCAAAGGAGACGGAAATGAACAAAAGAAATAAAAATAGAAAAAATAATATCGAATTACAAAACCGTAAGGCATTTATACTATTTTCAACCAATGAACAGTTCATATTCAAACAAAAATAGGCGAAATAACGATACCGTTTCCCAGAATTAAATATAATGCAGTCGAATTGAGAATCA